TATGCTGTCACTTGTATGTGGCATCTAAAAATGTCAAACTCATAGAAACAAAATAGAACAGAAGTTTCCAGGGGCTGAGGTATGGGGGGAATGGAGAGATGTTGATTAAAGGGTCCAAACTTTCAGTTGTAAGATCAACGAGTCCTGGGAATCTAATGTACACCATGGGTAGTGATGAACATGTTAATTAAGAAATAGGACAAAGAAATTGTATAATGTCAAGTTTTGCCTGGGGAATGTCATGAATGTTTCACAAAAAGGTGTCCCTGCAGCTTTTGGCTACTCTTGGGATGTATAGGTGCTTTCCATCTATGGCTGGCTAGAAATATCCTAGGAGATTGAAATATGAACTGTGTGGGAAATGATATTGGCTTACATTCTCAATAATTATTAGCATGTAAGTCCCTGTAGAGAAAGGAGACTGTTTCTTTTATATTCAGCAGCATAGCTTAATCCTGTCCCTTCCACACAGTACCATGTTTACTGTATTGTAAAGCTCAGGGAGAGAGCTGACTATGGCATGGGCATAGATTACTCCTCATTTAATGAACATATACTGAGTACCTGCTGTGTACTGGGCCTTATGGTAGAGTTATCAAGAAGAATTATTTCATCTCTAGGGTCTCTATTTTTATGCCAATCCTATGGTGTTTTGATCACTATGGACTTGTAGTATAACCTGAAGTCTGATAATGTGATGCCTCCAGATTTGTTCTTACTTTGTAGAATTGTTTTGGCTATTTGGGCTTTTTTTCTGGTTCCATAGCAAACAATAGACACACTTTCCTTGTGTGATGATCACAACTACAACTTAGACTTTACCTTACAAACACAAACAGTATAACCTAATCATATGTACCCTCACATAAAAAAAAAAAAAAAAAAGAATAAACCCCAGTCCCTGGCTTCTGAATTTTGGTTGAATAAAGGAATCAGTTGATAAGAAATTGCAGTATATGTGATTGTTAAGTGTATGCCCACAGGGCTATAAAGCACATGAGACCTAGCCCCATTTGGAGAGTGAAGGCCTCAAAAAAGTGACTTTCAAGCAAAGATTTGAATAACAAATAGGAGCTGACTTGAAAGGGGGCAAGCATTACAGTAGAGAGAATATCATGCACAGAGGTATGGTATTATCAGAAAATAGCATGCATTTTCTTATGAAGGATGTCAACAGATAATGAGAAGTGGCTGGGATCAGGCCATGGAGGATAATTACATCATAAAATGTCTATATTGTATATTATCCCGTGAAGGTGATGGTTAGTCACTGGAATGCTAGTTGAGAACAGTTTTTCAAAGAGCAGGTTGTAATCCATTAGTGGGTTGTAAAATCAAATTAGTGAATTGGGACCAGCATTTTAAAAAGGTGAACATGCAAAAAGTAGAAAATATTAGTGTGTGTTGTATGTGTGAAAGTAAATAATATTTTGTGAAGGTTTTGTTCCAGTTATTTGTGTTTGTGAACATTGTGTTCTGATGTTAAATGTTTTTTGATCTGTGGGTCATAATAAAAATCTTTTCAAGAAGAACTGAAGTTTCAATCTTGTACAAATTAATGTATCAAATTACTTTTGGTAGCATTTAACAGAAAACATAGACTCAAATGGGAATAATCACTAAAAAGATTATTTCACCATAACTAGGATTCTAGTTTGAAAGCTCTAGATACTGTAGTTTTAGTTGACTTCAGCATAGAACTAGTTCCCCAGTGGCACCTAGAATAACATGCCAATACTCTTTTCCAGTAGAATAGAGCCTGGATTCTCACTCCCTCACAATAACTTAGGCCTGTCCAGACTAAACCCATCAGGAGCTAGGAGATGGAAATACCATGATAGCTTTAGTTTAATCTGAGGTGGATGTTTGGGAGCTAATCCACTATAGTCTACAGCAATACAATGCGGTAAATTCAATGTGATTATGGAAACATTGTAGAAGCACCTAGGTTGATGGTCAGGGGAGCCACCCAGGGGATGCCAAATTTGTATATAAGTTAGGTAGATAAAAAGAAGGCTCTCCTCTCACAAAAGGTGGTAAGGAGAGCTGTACACAGAGAAATAACCTGTGGGCTTTTAGGCTTCTGGAGCACAGAATTAGAGGCAAAGGATGTACCTGGAATACATGCCTGATCAAGGAGGGGAGTCATGTTAAGGAATCTGGACTCTTTCTCTTAGGAAAAGAATGCCTGGAGAGGCATTAACAGTGAACTAAAATGATCATATTTCTATCACTATAGCTGCCATGTGGAGGAAGGCAAGTTAAGAGGCTACTGCAGGAAGCCAGAATAGAGATGTCTTGGACTTCAAGTTAGGGACAGGTGACTGCAGATTTGACAAACATTATGGGAATAAAATCAACATTCGTTTTAGTGCAGAATGAGTGTATGGAAACAATCGCTGACTTTTCTAGTCATCTTGTTTGGTTATTTGGCTTAAACTATGTTAGCTATTAAGGCTGGAGCAAATCTGTTACCTTCTGAGAAGGGAGTAGGCATTACCTTGTGAACCTTATTGTCAAGAACTGCAGCCCTGAGGGCCAGGCGTGGTAGCCTAGCACTCTGGGAGGCCAAGGTGGGTGGATTGCTCAAGCTCAGGAGTTCGAAACAAACCTGAGCAAGAGTGAGACCCCCATCTCTAAAAATAGCCAGGTGTTGTGGTGGGTGCCTATAGTCCGAGCTACTTGGGAGTTTGAGGCAGGAGAATCACTTGAGCCCAAGAGTTTGAGGTTGTTATGAGGTATGATGCCACAGCACTCTACCAAGGGCATCAAAGAGAGACTCTATAAAAAAAAAATAAAATAGAACTGCAGCCCTGGCTCAGTGCCCATAGCCCAGTGAGTAGGGCACTGGCCACATACACTGAGGCTGTCAGGTTCAAGCTTGGCCTGGGCCTGCTGAACAATGAAAACTGCAACAAGAAAATAGCTGGGTGTTGTGGTGGGCACTTGTAGTCCCAGCTATTTGGGAGGCTAAGGCAAGAGAATTGCAATTGCTTAAGCCCAAGGCTTGGAGGCTGCTATGAGCTGCAATGTCACAGCACTCTACCAAGGGCACCATAGTGATACTCTGTCTCAAAAAACAAACAAACAAAAAATAAATCCTGCAGCCGAAGATGGGGAACCTTTGAAGGCGGTGCCCTCGGGTTTGCAATGTATTAAAGAGGTGATTAGATGGACTTAGGGGAACATTTCAGCAACTGAAGTGAATGTTTTATGGTCCAGATTAGTGCAATTCCTGACACACTATTATACTTCCTTGTGTTACCCCCCTGAGCTTTTACCAAATGTTTTAGGATTCATGTACTCTTATTTTGAGGCAAAATATTAAAAGGGGATTTGGTGTTCTTAAGGCCACTGTGGTAGTGGCTCATTAGGATGTGTGTTTCTTGATGACATAGGTCATGTCTTGTTACATCTGTATTTCTAATAATCTAGCTAGTCCAGAGTCTCACACATGGCAAACATTTGATAAATGTATCCTTGCTGCCTACAATAATGGTGGGCACTAGCAGATGCTTAGTATGCATATAAGAGAACTGCTGAGAGCCCCAAAGGTAGATGGATTTCTGGGGGCTAAAAGGAAAGCTAAGGGAACCCAGTCACAATCCACCTATTCACAATATATAGATTGTGGTTTTAAGTTCAAGGAAAGTGCTTTGAGCCAGGGATGGCTCTTAAGATACGCGGTTGGGGTGAATATTCTCACTTAGAAGAAAGAGAGGTAAATTTGTGTTTGGGGGGGGACGTTCAGACTTGCAGATTTGACAAATGTTGAGTGTCCACTATATGTCACTCAAAATGTAATATAAGAGCTTTCTGGCAGTAGTGTGGACAAAATGGACTAGACAAAAGAGATACAGAGCCCTGGGCAGTGCCTGTGGCTCAAAGGAGTAGGGCTCTGGCCCCGAAAGCCGGAGGTGGCCGATTCAAACCCTGCCCCGGCCTAAAACTGCCAAAAAAAAAAAAAAAAAAAAAAGAGATATAGAGCCCTGTTGGGAGCAGTTGAGTCTCAGACTAGGGCAGTTGCAGCGAAACAGCACCAGAATAGTTGTGTCACAAAAATGCTCATCTATCTGATAGACCAAAGATCCCTCTACTTTCAGCCTTATTATTTCAGACAATGGACAGATTCACTGGGCCAAATACACTTTTTAGGTACATCTTCAGATAAAATCTCTTCATCCCATTCTACTGGGGATATGGGAACTATCTCAAGTCTCCCCATGACTACCACCCTAGTCAAGCCTCATCCTAAGGGATGGGCAGCCTGGCGGGGCCAATCCTGCCTTCAGAGTAATTAGTGGATATAAAGGATCTTCCTGCTTCTCACATGCTCTGGCTATTGGGAAGCTAGATTCCCCTTTTCTGAGTTTCCAGAGCCGCCTAGATTTAACAATAAAAATTTCCAGGAAATTCCCAGTAGGTTTAACTTCCTAATCTGCCTTTCACTTTGACCTTCTTTGTTCACTGTCTCTCCCCACCAAAAGGAAAGAACTTATCCAGGAGCCCAACATCCTTCGCTGAATGCCTCTATCCCTTTGGCCAGGGTGGTGGAACACCTGAGTTATTAGGTTTGCTACACCATTCAGAGGTTGAGGGGAACACATGAAGGTGATGTGTGATACTGCCTAGAAACAGAAGAATGGTTGTAGTATCCATTGAGGCTTACTAGGGTACTGGATTGTTTCAGGAAGTGTCACTTGCAGATGTTAACTCCTACCTACTAGGAAATGATTTTTCTCTAGTAAATCCCAGGGGCTTGGTCTCTCTGAGATTCAATCTCAAAACACAATCACATTTGGGAATCAGTTTAGGATTTTAAGATACATGCCCCACTTAAAATGGCATTAAGAAAAACAACTGTACTAACCCTCACCCACCCAAATCTATGGATCAGAAACATGAATTATGAATTTACAATCCCTGGTAGACTGAGCATTTGGATAGTTCTCATTCTCCAGAAATCCCTGGGGAAGAAGAAAAATTTATTTACATATAAATATGGTAAATTTTGGTTTTAATTTACTCATATAAGAGATTTTCTCTATTGTGCAAAGAGAGGGCCATCGTGCTCTTCAGAAGGTTCTCAGCCCTATTAAGAGTGTCCATTTTACAAATCTAGCTCCAGTTCTTCTTAGAGATTAAAAAAGCTCTAAAGGTCTGTGATCTTGGGCACTGATAACGGCTGCAGAGCCTTCAGATCCAGTTAAATCTCTGGTGTTCCGGCTGTGTTGGATCTGTGGATGCATGCTTCCTGGTTCTGGCTGAGGTCCTGCCGCAGTCCCTGCAGCAGTTGATTTAGGAGTGTAAGGTTGCTGTCTCTCCGAGGAATAGGAAGGGGTGGGAGGCAGTTCCCTTTGTACTCAATCACTGCCATCTTGGCTCGATCCTGCTCGCTCCTATTTGGGATCTGCAGCATTCTTGTGTAGCCCCCATTTTGACCTTGGTACCGAGGAGCCAGTACTTGAAACAGCTTTGGGATCAAGTCCTTCTCCTAGAGGGAGAGAGTTATCCAAGGGACAGCAGAGTCAAGTCAGACTGCAGAGGCATTTAACTTTCAGCCACTTGCAAAGGTAAAGTCCACACACACCATACCCAAACTTCTTCCAACCCCTAATCTGGCAGAGTCAAAGTTACACAAAGGGGTCATTTACAGGCAGTTATGTAAAGTGATATTCACAGATGAGTTCAACTAAGGCTTAAGATAATGGCTTAAGATAAGGTTTAAGATAGTATCTTAAGGCTTAAGATGTTTCTAATTCAGTTCACAACACTGGCCCATAAGTGACAGCCTAGCTTAATTCCACCCAATTTCCCTTTCTCCAACAACCCCCTCTTCCACAAGGAGCCAAGAATGCTATTTGGGAGGCAGACAGGATGCACTGACCGTGAGCCAGAAGTCAGCCATGCGCATGGCTCGTTCATTGGTGTCTCCCAGTTTCCCATAGTCGATGAGCTGTGAGGGCAAAACATCAAAGATCCAAACCCAACAAGAAGATGGGCACCAATCTAATTTCTCTAACGCTGGATAGGAATCCTTTACACTAGCAAAGAAAGCACCTCTAATCTAGGCTACCTCTTACTCCACGGTCCTAACTGTTCTTCCACTGAGGCGCCAAGGACTGGATTCATTTCAGTGTAGTAAGGGATTCTGACTTGGGGAAGGGTGGATCAGGGCGATCCCACTCCCTTTTCACAAGCAGCCGGACCCCTCCCCTCAGGCCAGACTCTCGCGATCGACAAGAAGACCCAGTTCCTCACCTTCTCGGCGTAGCCCCTCATCTCGTCCACGCGCGCCCATGACGCCTCGATGCGTTCGTGCCGCACCAGTCCCGTGAGCAAGTTCCGCAACATGTGGATGCGGGACTCGGGACCAAGGCCCAGACGGCGAAATACGCGGCCATGGGAGATGGCTGCGGCAACAGTAACCCTCATGTCCCTTACCTCTACCTGCCCCTTGGAAGCCGGAACTGAAAACTCTAGAGGGGAGACAGGGCGGAGCCAATTTCAGAGGACGCATGCGCCGCCGCTCGGTGCGTGGTGGACGTGTTTGCGCATGAGCATCGGACCCTGCCTAGTTGGCAATCAGGGGGAGGGCGGAGAGACGTGTGTAGACGTTTTCTAGAGGCGGCAAGCTGGGCTGGCTTTAGGCGTTATAAATGCTCCGTGAACAAGGAGCTCGAGAACAAGGCGCCCCCTAGTGTGGGATAAACAGGCCATCGGGTTTCTCTTGTGCTGAGTCAGGCGACTTGTGGCATTTACAGCTGTGGGAATCTCCGCCGCAGAGCCTGCTGGGAAAGTGAGTGTCCGAGGGCGAAGGCGCGGGCGGGGGTCGGAGTCCTGAAGGCGGACTGCACCACAGGGCCTTGAACAGTGGCCGGCAGGCGTGGCCGACACCGGCAGGCATCATTTTTAACAGTGATTACAGTACTAATGGTGGCATGAATAATAACGATGCCTAGAAAAGAAACACAGATAGTGAAAGCTTTCTTTTGCAGTAATCATTTCTGTTAAAGAAAAAATTGCAGCACTGAAAGAAAACATAATGGATTAAAGTTTAAAATTACATCAGGGTATTTTTTTTTTTTTTTTGGAAACAAGGGGAAAACATACCTATGTATTTATGCTGTTAAAGTAGTGAACAATAATATTATAGTTTGTTGTTGACCCTAGTGCCTGCAAATTTGCAATGACTGTCAATATTGACTTGTTATGGATTGAAAGCTATGTTATGTCCTAACTTCTTGTAAGTCAGAATGTGGCTTAATTTGGGAAAAGAGTCATTGCAGATGTAATTAGTTAAGGTGAGGTCATCCTGAAGTAGTTGGGGGCCTAATCCAAAATGACTGGTGACCCCCTAAAAAGAAAGTGTGTGAAGAAACAAGCGCACAGTGTGAAGATTAAACAGGTGAAGAGCGACATACAGAGAAAATGCCATGTGTCCTTCGAAACAGAGATTGGCATTATACATTTGCAAGTTAATGAATGAACAAGGATCGCTGGAAACACCTAAAGCTAAGAGAGAGGCACCAGGAATATATTCTTTTCCGGATTCCTCAGAAAACATGACCCTGCTGCTGCTGACACATTAATTTTTTACTTCTAAGTTCCAGAGCCTTGAGATGAAAAATGTTTGTTGTTTTAAGTCCAACAGTTTGTAATATTTTGTTATGGCAGCCTTAGGAAATTAATTCACTGTTCAGACTGAACATGAACATACGAAGCGTGAATTATTCTAGATTCGTCACTATGCTTAGCACATAGGTGACCAAACAACACTTCTTTGTTAATTTTAATTTTAAAAAGTTTTTTCATATGAAGCAACAGATGTACATATAGGAAAAGTCATAAACGTGTGTGTTGGCAAAGACTTACATAAATCACACTTTATAATAAATTATAGAAATTATACCATTCATGTCTTGTTTGGGAATAATTCTTGCAGCTTCCAATTATCTTTACAATTGAAAAATTCACTAAGATATTTTTACTAGAAAATTCATAAATTTCTGTTGTTAAAAACTTGTGACAATTTTCTTCTGCAAAATTCAGAAAAAAACGAACACTGAAGCCAACCTTATTTGATCCATTGTTTTAGAAATTGTGTCTCCTTGGTGAAAACAATTGTATCACAAACATTGTCCTTTTGACTTTTTCTGGCAGTACAAGACATCATCTCTTGTCTCTTCTGGCAAAATTCCATATTTTTTTCTATGCCAATTTCTCTACTGGCTTTCTCCACAGTTTTTATGGACTGATATTCAAGGAGCAATTTTAAACCATGTTGCTTTACTGATTCTGTGTTGCTCAGGGTTTATTCTGGCTGTTTGCCAATAGTTTTGTGTTCAATTGGCCTCACCTGAAACTTCACATAAATTTTTAAAAAAGTCATAAAGAAAAAGTCCCATATGACTAAGATTGTTTTAACTCTATTGTTTGTAAAATAGGGATATAGTATACCACAGAGATTGGAGTCATGAGATGCAGCCGAAGTAAACTTGAAAGATAGTTAAACACCTATGCATTTATATTCAAAGTCAGTATGTGTGGCAGAATTGTGGAACTGGTAGTTCTCTAAATTGATTCCATGTGGGATAAGATATTTTTTAGTGCATATGTTTAATAATGATAATTTTAAGCATGCATACATATCATTGTAACTCAACTGTAACTGTAGCAATTGTTTAGAACTTAGACCAACAGAAGATTTGTGTGTGTGTGTGTGTGTATAATTACATTGCTAACATTGTCTAGAATTATGTACAAGGTGATAATTAAAATCAGATTGACTTTTAGTTTCATTATTATGGTTATGTCATTAAATCTGAAATGTCTGATTTCAAATCAAAAGTTAATTATGCATGTACCTCAAACAAGAAGCAGTACAATTAATCAATGTATGTGCCCAAATTATTAACACAGTTTTCCCATCTTGGCATCTGCACACCAATAGCAAAGAAGCCTGAAACCAATAGCAAAGAAGCCTGAAGAGTGGTGATAAAATCACAAAAAGCATTTTCCACAGATTGATCAGAATTGAATATTTTTCCTTGCAAGAAGTGGTCCAAAGCCTAGAAGAAGTGGTAGTCAGTTGGTGCAAGGTCTGGTGAATATTGCAGATGACACAGAGTTTCCAAGCCTGGCTTTTGTAGTTTGAGCAGCACTGTTTTTATGACAGCATGGTCTTGCAAGAGGATTGACCTGTCTCTATTGAACAATCTTGGCTGTTTAATCACAAGCATCCTCTAAGTCAATGGTTCTCAACCTTCCTTGATGCTGTAGTTCTTTAATACCGTTCCTGTGGGTTGTGACCCACAGATTGAGAACCACTGCTCTAAGTGCTTGCAGTATATATCTGCTATACTTGATTGACCAGGTTTTGTGAAACTGTAGTGGATAACTGTAGTGGATAATGCCAGTGCTGATCACTAAACTTTTTGATGAATATTTGGTTTTGGACTATTGGTTTCAGTACTTCATTCAACCATCTTGCCATACTCTTGTGACTGTCAAAAAGACAATACATGTAATAGTATGTTGTGTAAATGGTTGGCCTTTAAGTTGTGACAGCAAAGAAAGGCAGCGTTGAAAGGAATTTTCTTTTGATGCGTATTTAATTCATGTGGAACTCATCTACCCAGATTCTTTATCTTGCCAAGTTTTTTTCAAATGGTTCATATTGTTGCAAAAGTAATGAAAAACCTGGCAGCTAATTCACACATGGTGTGAGAGAGATTTGCTTCCACTACAGCTTTCAGCATGTCATTGTCAACCTTGGTTTCAGGTTCCCCATGTGGCTGATTTTCAAGATTAAAATCACCAGAATGGAACTTCTTAAGCCATCAATGTACTCTACATTCATTACCCACATCCTTCCCAAACACTTCATTGATATTTTGAGCAGTCTGCACTGCACTGGTTCCATGAAGGAAGTTCTATTTTTAAATAACATGAATTTTTGACTTGTCCATGATTTCACAAAAATTTCTCTAAAAAAATTTGAAAGATAATCACAAGTCAAAACATGCATTTTAAAGAATGAAGATGTACCTTCACAATTAAAAAAAAATCACAAGAAGTGTCAAAGTGAAATGTAAGAGATATCAAGTGTCAAACTTAGTACCTAAGGAAATATTGGTTACTTGGTAACCTAATATTTGAACATTGTTTACAGACAGTTAACTCCCTTATTCCTGCTCCCAAGCCAAGGTGCTCTTACCTCCCAATTCTTGGCACCCATTGGTGCTGAGTATCCACTTGAACCCCTAGAGAAGATGCTCAGAATATATCTGAGTATTGTGGTTGAGCCAGAACCTGTATCACTCTGATAAGAGTCCAGGGTTAAGTCCCTGAAGTGGTGTTGCTATTGACTATAGTCAATATGGCAGGAGTGAGGAAAGTGGTCCCAATAATGTTTTGGGTGGCAGCTAAAAGAGAAAGATCTCAGCCTTTAGAAGAATTTTTTGTCCATAACCTCTGTTGGAAAAAGGGCATTGATTGGATCTGCCCACATGGCAGTTGTTCTGGAAGCCAGGGTAGGAAGCTTAGCAAATGTTAAATCAGGGATTTAATGTTGATGGTAAAAAGCAATTGTTGCTTTAACCCCAAACCAACGTTGGGTTCTATCCCTAGAATCCTGAATGTCTGGAAGTATCATAGAGACTTACTCTTTCTTGGTGCACACACACACACACACACTAATTCCCTTAGGTCAGTGTTTTAACCCCTTTCTGAATCCAACTTTTTGAGAGGGATAGGACAAAGACACAGTCTATCTCTAGTATCTAGTGGAATGTTGCTATTATTCCACTAGATACTAGATGCTAATACTCAGTTAAAATGAGTTTTTTTGTAATCAGAGTCAGTAGGATATTAATGGACCTCATCTGACATAAAGATTTTCCTGTTCCACTTAGATGTCAGAAGACATCTGACACTTTTTTTTTTTTGTGATTGCATTTGTTCACCTGCTCCACTGTTGGAGCCTGTCTGATGCATTTCCTCATGTAGTATGGACCTTAACCAACAGGTGGCACAGGTTGTACTCTTTCTTTTTCCAGGCAGGCCATGTTTTTTGATGTGAACAGGTGATTGTGTGTTGTATTCATGTAGTTGTGCTTGTTGGAAAAGGGTGAGGAAAAGGCATGCAAATGATAATGATCTTGCAGTGTGGATTTTTGAGGATAGTGAGGTTAAAGAATAGTTTAGTTATGAAAGTGAACATATAGAAACTTTTCCTGTATGTAGTGACATTAATTCCAGTGAATCTGAAGTTAATGATGAAGAAGAAAATGATCATCATACACAGCCTGTAACAAGTAGCTGGAAGGTTTATGGTGATGACGATGATGATCTTACGAGTTCCCATACTCTGTCACACAATGGGGATTCACCCTTCCGCAAAGTGCTCAGCCAAACACTGAACTTGAATATGTCTAGCTCTTTTTCTCAGATGATCTTATTAGTGAAATTGTGACCAGGACAAATATATATGCAGGGGAAAAATACCAAAGATGACTCCACTAACAAAATACTCAATGTA